CAGCATATTAGAATGATTTCTGAAGATCATGTGACACTGAAGACTGGAGTAATGATGCTGAAAATACAGCTGCGCATCACAGAAATACATTACAGTTTAACAGAGATTCACATAGAAAACTGCTGATTTAAATTGTAATCATTTTAATAATCGTTGCAGGGCGAGACGGACGGAGACACTGATCCTGGCGTTCTGCTGAGCGCTCAGACCATCACATCAGAAACCACCAGCACCACCACCACCACACACATCACCAAGGTACTGACCGCTGCTGCATTACTGACCATCAGAACCATCAGTGTCTGACAGACGAGTGTCATAACGGATGTGTGTGTGTGTGTGTGTGTGTGTGTGTGTGTGTGTGTGTGTGTGTGTGTGTGTTTGACAGATGGTAAAGGGCGGCATCTCAGAAACACGGATTGAGAAGAGAATCGTGATCTCAGGAGATGCAGACATCGATCATGACGAGGTGAGACCTTCGGTGAGCCTTTAATACGGTTCCTTCAGGGTCATTCTATCAAATGCCACCTCTTCTAGAGTTTTAAAGAAATTCAAGTATAATTATTCCTTTAGATCATTTTAATGTGAAATTACAGGCCTTGTGCTTAAGAATGTGAACTTATATGTTAAATTTCATGCTGATATTTCTACAAAAACATGGTAATAATGTTGACATTTAAAGATCATCCTCTAAACAAACAACATAAAACATAAGAGGAATATTACAAAATAAGACTTTAACTTGTGCTTTAAGAGATTACTTCCTGAAAAAAGATAAAAAGATTGAATAATTTTTGCATAAGTTGCTGGATTTTAGTTCAGAAAGATTACTGTATTGTCATAACATAGTAAAGTTGATCATCTGATGGTTTGTTTGCAGATGGTGACTGTGGTTTTGTAGAATGATCCTGTATGAACTAATGACTAGATTCAGCAGTTTGCATCAGTGTTTATCATGAACGTGACAGGAGTAGTTGTGGGCGTGGCCTGTGATGATGTGAGTGTTGAGGGACGTGGCTGTCATGATGATGTGGTGTTAAGGGGCGTGGCTGTGATGATGTGGATGTTGAGGGGCGTGGCTGTGATGTTGGTGTGGGTGTTGAGGGGCGTGGCTGTGATGGTGTGGGTGTTGAGGGGCGTGGCCTGTGATGGTTCGGGTGTTGAGGGGTGTGACTGTGATGGTGTGGATGTTGAGGGGCGTGGCTGTGATGTTGGTGTGGGTGTTGAGGGGCGTGGCTGTGATGTTGGTGTGGGTGTTGAGGGGCGTGGCTGTGATGATGTGGTTAAGGGGCGTGGCCTGTGATGGTTTGGGTGTTGAGGGGCGTGGCTGTGATGATGATGTGGGTGTTGAGGGGCGTGGCTGTGATGATGTGGTTAAGGGGCGTGGCCTGTGATGGTTTGGGTGTTGAGGGGCGTGGCTGTGATGATGATGTGGGTGTTGAGGGGCGTGGCTGTGATGATGTGGTTAAGGGGCGTGGCCTGTGATGGTTTGGGTGTTGAGGGGCGTGGCTGTGATGATGATGTGGGTGTTGAGGGGCGTGGCTGTGATAATAAAAATAATAATATGTTTTATTTATATAGCGCCTTTCAAGGACCCAAGGTCGCTTTACATAAAGTTGATAGATAACATGAACAACAGATATACAGTCACATAATCAAGCAAATAGAGCAGACAGAGATGATATAATCCAAGAAAAGTAACGAAAGCAAGCATAGAACTGAAAATTGAGGCAGTCTGCTACAATCAATTAACAAAACATATTGTAAATAAGTGAGTTTTGAGAACAGTTTTAAAGGTCTGGAGTGAAGAGACAGCACAG